TCCCGGGTTCACGCCATTCTCTTGCCTCAGCCTCCTGAGTAGCTGGGACCACAGCCGCCCGCCACCTCGCCCGGCTAGTTTTTTGTATTTTTTTAGTAGAGACGGGGTTTCACCATGTTAGCCAGGATGGTCTCGATCTCCTGACCTCGTGATCCACCCGTCTCGGCCTCCCAAAGTGCTGGGATTACAGGCTTGAGCCACCGCGCCCGGCCCTATTTTTTTGTTTTCTAACTTTGGAAATTCAGTGTGTAGGCCAGGTGTGGTGCCTTATGCCTGTCATCCTAGCACTTTGGGAGGCCGAGGTGGGTGGATCACCTGAGGTTAGGAGTTCGAGACCAGCCTGAACAATATGGTGAAACCCTGTCTCTATTAAAAACACAAAAATTATCCGGGCGCGGTGGCTGATACCTGTAATCCCAGCACTTTGGGAGGCCGAGATGGGCGGATCACGAGGTCAGGAGATCGAGACCATCCTGGCTAACCCGGTGAAACCCCGTCTCTACTAAAAAATACAAAAAACTAGCCAGGCGAGGTGGCGGGCGCCTGTAGTCCCAGCTACTCGGGAGGCTGAGGCAGGAGAATGGAGTGAACCTGGGAGGCGGAGCTTGCAGTGAGCCGAGATCCGGCCACTGCACTCCAGCCTGGGCAACAGAGCGAGACTCCGTCTCAAAAAAAAAAAAAACACAAAAATTATCCGGGCAAGGTGGTGTATGCCTGTAGTCCCAGCTACTCCAGGGGCTGAGACAAGAGAATTGCTCGAATCTGGAAGCAGAGATTGCAGTGAGCCAAGATCATGCCACTGCACTCCAGCCTGGGTGACAGAGCGAGACTCTGTCTCAAAAACAAAAAAGAGATTCAGTGTCGGGGGAAGCGTCTCTGTCGGGTCTGGCTGCTCTGCAGGACTCTGAGGAAAAGCTCGCACCAGGTGGACGCTGTTTTATCACCATGGATAAAAGAGACCCCAACAAGCCGAGAGGTAAAAGGCCTTTGTACCCCTTCTTCATGTAGACCTGCCGGGAAGAACACAGGAAGAAACACCCAGACTCTTCCGTCAATTTCGTGGAATTCTCCAAGAAGTGTTTGGAGAGACGGAAGACCACATCTGCAAAGGAGAAGTTGAAGTTTGAAGATATGGCAAAAAGTGACAAAACTCGTTACGACAGGGAGATGAAAAATGACGTTCCTCCAAAAGGTAGGAAAGGATGAGAAAGGAAAGAAATAGGATCACAATGCTCCTAAAAGGCCACCATCTGCCTTCTTCCTGTTTTGCTCTGAACATCGCCCAAAGATCAGAAGTGGACACCCAGGCCTATTCGTCGGGGAAATTGCAAAGAAACTGGGTGAAATGTGGTCTGGGCAGTCCGCCAAAGATAAACAACCATGTGAACAGAAAGCAGCTAAGCTAGAGGAGAGATATGAAAAGGGTATTGCTGCATATCGTGCCAAGGGCAAAAGTGAAGCAGGAAAGAAGGGCTCAAAGAAAAAGAACAAACCAGAAGCTGAGGAGGAGGAGGAGGAGGAAGATGAAGATAAGGAGGAAGATGAAGATGAGGAGGAAGAGGTTGAAGATGAAGAATACATGGCTATCCTGTAATGATGCCTGTGCAATGTGCGTGTTTTGCTAAGAATGTGAATTCAAATGTAGTTCAGTATTAGCTTCAGTATAAAACTCTACAGGTTTTTGTATAGCTGATAAGATTCTCTGTAGAGAAAATACTTGAGACAGAGTTTCACTCTTGTTGCCCAGGCTGGAGTGCAATGGAGTGATCTTGGCTCATGGCAACCTCTGCCTCCCAGGTCCTGGTTCAAGCAGTTCTCCTGCCTCAGCCTCCCAAGTAGCTGGGATTACAGGCGTGTGCCACCACACCCGGCTAATTTTTGTATTTTTAGTAGAGACGGGGGTTTCACCATGTTGGCCAGGCTGGTCTCGAACTCCTGACCTCATGATCTGCCCGCCTGGGCCTCCCAAAGTGCTGGGATTACAGGCGTGAGCCACAGCGCCCAGCCTGAGAAAATACTTTTTTTTTTTTTTTTTTTTTTTGAGACGGAGTCTCGCTCTGTCGCCCAGGCTGGAGTGCAGTGGCTGGATCTCAGCTCACTGCAAGCTCCGCCTCCCGGGTTCACACCATTCTCCTGTCTCAGCCTCCCGAGTAGCTGGGACTACAGGCGCCGCCACCACGCCCGGCTAGTTTTTTTTTTTTTGTATTTTTTAGTAGAGACGGGGTTTCACCGTGTTAGCCAGGATGGTCTCGATCTCCTGACCTCGTGATCCGCCCATCTCGGCCTCCCAAAGTGCTGGGATTACAGGCTTGAGCCACTGCGCCCGGCCGAGAAAATACTTTTTAAACACGCAGGTTGGCCGGGTGTGGTGGCTCATGCCTGTAATCCCAGCACTTTGGGAGGCTGAGGTGAGCAGATCAGCTGAGGTCGGGAGTTTGAGACCAGCCTGGCCATCACAGTGAAATCCTGTCTCTACTAAATACAAAAAAAAAAAAAAAAAATTAGCCAGGCGTGGTGGTGTGCGCCTGTAATCCCAGCTACTCGGAAGGCTGAGGCAGAAAATCCCACTAGAGCCCGGAGAAGGAGGTTGCAGTGAGCCGAGATCACGCTATTGCACACAACCTGGAGCAGCAAGAGTGAAACTCTCAAAAAAAAAAAAAAAAAAAAAAAAAAAGATGCGGGTTGTAGTTTTCAATGGGCTACTACATGCAGTTAGATTACTACAGCTTCTGGTGTTGGTGTCCGTTGCCAAAAAAAAAAAAAAAAAAAAAAAAAAAAAAAGATGCAGGTTGTAGTTTTTCAATGGGCTACTACATGCAGTTAGATTTTACAGCTTCTGATGTTGAGTGTCCGTGTGTGTGTGTGTGTGTGTATATATATATATATTTTTTGAGACAGAGTCTCACTCTTTTTTTTTTTTTTTGAGACGGAGTCTCGCTCTGTCGCCCAGGCTGGAGTGCAGTGGCCGGATCTCTGCTCACTGCAAGCACCGCCTCCCGGGTTCACGCCATTCTCCTGCCTCAGCCTCCCGAGTAGCTGGGACTACAGGCGCCCGCCACCTCGCCCGGCTAGTTTTTTGTATTTTTTTAGTAGAGACGGGGTTTCACCGGGTTAGCCAGGATGGTCTCGATCTCCTGACCTCGTGATCCGCCCGTCTCGGCCTCCCAAAGTGCTGGGATTACAGGCTTGAGCCACCGCGCCCGGCCCCAGAGTCTCACTCTTATCCCCCAGGCTGGAGTGTGATGCCACAATCTCAGCTCACTGCAACCTCTGCCTCCCGGATTCAAACGATTCTCCTGCCTCAGCCTCCCAAGTAGCTGGGATTACAGGCATGCGCCACCATGCCCGGCTAGTTTTTGTATTTTTAGTAGAGATGGGGTTTCACCATGTTGGCCAGGCTGGTCTGGAACTCTTGAGCTCAGCTGATCCACCCACCTGGGCCTCCCAAAGTGCTGGGATTACAGGCGTGAGCCACCACAACCTGCCTAATGTCCCTAAATATTTAATGGGTTTTTAAACATTTCTTGTATATGGCAGCACACCAGACTTGTAGGAATTAGTATCAATAGTAAATTTTTTGTTTTTTAGGATGCCGCATTTTTAAAAATTTTGTAATAAAATTATGTATATATAAAAAAAAAAATTCCGTGTGTAGTTTACACAGCACATCTCCATCCAGGCACTTCAGAGAATGACTTAGGAGGGGTTCTTGGAGGAGGCGGCTTTTGAGCTGAGAATTCATCTTCAAGGATTCTTTCTATAATGGCCACCAAGTATTTCCTGAGTCAGTTCCATGCGTCCTGCAATTCTCTGAAGGGGCGTGGGACCTACGGATGCCACAGTTATCCAGCATATCCCCAGATTCCAAGAAGTTTGAGTATGAGCCAGCTATCAGTCCAGAAAACAGATATCAAAATAAGTTTGGGCTGGGGAGTGTTTACTCATCTTCTGTTTTCTGGGAGAGATCTTTTTTTTTTTTTTTTTTTTTTTTTTTTGAGACGGAGTTTCCCTCTTGTTGCCCAGGATGGAGTGCAATGGTATGATCTTGGCTCACCGCAACCTCCCAGGTTCAAGCGATTCTCCCGCCTCAACCTCCTGAGTAGTTGGGATTACAGACGTGCATCTGTAATCTCTACTAAAAATACAAAACTTAGCCGGGCATGGTGGCGCACGCCTGTAATCCCAGCTACTCGGGAAGCCGAGGCAGGAGAATCGCTTGAACCTAGGAGGCGGAGGTTGCAGCAAGATAATTTGTTCCAGCAAAACAACGTGGCGCTAGTGCAGGAAAAGGTGGAAAGGACGGGGCTAGCACAGGAGGGTTCAATATTTTCAACCTTATCAAGCCATATTTTGGCAACTCTTGTTTTTCACCAGAAGCCTCCGCTGGGCTTGTCCTAGCGCTGTCCTGAGGCTTCCCCCATGAGTTCCGACAGGGTAGAGGCCGCCCTGAGCGTTTCTCTCTCCCCTGGCCCAAGAGAGCCTTAAACCAAGGATTTTTGACTGGAATTGGCCACTTTGGGTTACTTTTTGACCCTTGACCTCCCCCCAAAGGGGGATCCGGGGGAGGGGCTCTGGCTGGGGTGGCCCCGCTCCTTCCAGGTCCGCGAGCCCAAGTTCTCGCCCACCGGGCTGAGCCCTCCCCGCGGCCGTTCAGCGAGGCAGTTGGCACCAGTGACCTACGACCCCCGTCCCCAACCCCTCCGAGGTCGCAGCCGTGGCCTCCACTCCGTATGCCTGCTTCCCGCCCCCTGCCCATGACGGGCGTCTCCACGGGCCAATGAGCGGGCCGTATCCACCCCTCGGGCGGGGCCAAGCGCCGACCAATCCCCGTTCGGGCGCCCGGCCGGGTCCAAACGCTCCAATCCTCAGCGGCGGTGGGGCGGGCAGGGGGGCGGGGATTGCAGGTTCAGCCAACGGGTGGACACGTCGTCCTCGCGAGGAGGCGTGTCCTGCGGCCAGGCGTGCGACGTCCGCGGCGGCGCAGGGAGGGGGAGGGAGGTAAACAAGATGGCGGCGGCGTATCGGGCGCGGAAGGGGGAGGCGGCCCGGAGCGCCCGCGAGTGAGCCGCGGGGCGGCGAAGGGAGCGCGGGCGGTGGAACTTGCTGCCGCGGCCTTGGATGGGCTGGGCCCCCCTCGCCGCTCCGCCTCCTCCACACGCGCGGCGGCCGCGGCGAGGGGGACGCGCCGCCCGGGGCCCGGCACCTTCGGGAACCCCCCGCCCCGGAGCCTGCGGCCTGTGCCGCTTCGGCCGCCCGGGGCCCCGTGGAGCCCCCGCCGCCGCGCCGCCCCGCAGACCGGACGCTGAGGGCACTCGGGGTGGGGCGCGCGCTCGGGCAGACGTTTGCGGGGAGGGGGCGCCTGCTTGGCCCCGGCGACCACCGCGGGGGTCGCGGGTCGGCTCGGGGGGTGCCCAGTGCGGGCCCTCGCGGGCGCCGGGCAGCAACCAGCCCTGAGCGGAGCTGTTGGCCGCGGCGGGAGGCTGCCCGGACGCCCCCACCCCCCCGAACGCTCGCCCGGGCCGTCGAGAGTCGGCGCCCCCCGGGAGGTCCGCTCGGTAGTCCGCGGCGGAGCGTTTGCGGCTGGGACAGGCGGCGGGACCCGGGCGTCGCCGGAGACACCCCCAGCGAAGTTGGGCTCTCCAGGTGTGGGGGTCCCGGGGGGCAGCGACGTCGCGGACCCCGCCTGTGGGATGGGCGGCCCGGAGAAGACCGCGCTTGGCCGTGTTCACGCTTGTCCGTGGGCCTGAGGTCCCCGGAGGATGACCTAGCACTGAGAAGCCCCGGCCGGCCTCCCCAGGGCCTCCGAGGACGAAGTTGACCCCGACCGGGCCGTTCCCCAGTACCGAGGCCCGGGTCCCACTGCAACTCGCGTCTGAGCCGCCGTCCCGGACGCCCGGTGCCCGCGGGTCTGCAGACCCTGCACCGGGCTCGGACTCGCAGCCGGGACTGACGTGTAGGACAATCGTTTCTGTTGGAAGAAGGGTTTTTCCCTTCCTTTTGGGGTTTTTGTTGCCTTTTTTTCTTTCTTTTTTCTTTGTAAAATTTTGGAGAAGGGAAGTCGGAACACAAGGACCGCTCACCCGCGGACTCAGGGCTGGCGGCGGGACTCCAGGACCCTGGGTCCAGCATGGAGGTGGTGGACCCGCAGCAGCTGGGCATGTTCACGGAGGGCGAGCTGATGTCGGTGGGCATGGACACGTTCATCCACCGCATCGACTCCACCGAGGTCATCTACCAGCCGCGCCGCAAGCGGGCCAAGCTCATTGGCAAGTACCTGATGGGGGACCTGCTGGGGGAAGGCTCTTACGGCAAGGTGAAGGAGGTGCTGGACTCGCAGACGCTGTGCAGGAGGGCCGTCAAGATCCTCAAGAAGAAGAAGTTACGAAGGATCCCCAACGGGGAGGCCAACGTGAAGAAGTAAGTACGGCTTGCTGGGGCCGGGGCCAGCCGGGGCCGGGCCGGGCGGGCCAGTCACTGTGCGGATGGTTCTGTCTTCCTTCTCTCCTCCCTCCCTCCCTTACTTCCTCTTAACACCCAGAGCTGGACCCGGCCGGCGCCTGTGTCCTCCGTGCCAGGGAGAGGTTGGTTGGAGGCCTGCGTTACGGACTTTCCCTCAGGCAGGGCCAGTTGTCGCAGCGGGGCGTGCGTTTGCTTGGGCTCTTCTGTTTGGACGCCCTGGTAGCGAAACCCTCCTAAGAAGGGAGCGGCCCCCAATCCCCTAAGTCTAGCCCCGTGGCTCCCCCAGCTGTCCAAGGAGCAGAGGCGCCCAGTGGAATGAGCCTGTGTTTATTTGGGCGCCGAGAGTTTGTGTGCGGCCGCCAGCAGGTTTTCTGCGCAATGTGTGGCGGTTACCGGGGCCAGGAGAAAATGTGATTTGTTTATCCTGTCAGAGGGGAACCCTGGGCTGCCAAAAATAACTGCACCGGCTTATCAGCCAGCAGGAGGGAAACGTAGCCTTTCCTCATTTGCCAGGGATGTGACGCTGGAAGCGTCCCTGGCCCCCAGCGCTGGCAGCCCTGCCGGAGGAGGACTGTGCCTCCCTCCCGAATTGCATCCGGAAGACCTTACTTTTCAAACTGATTTCTTCAGGCATGGGGCTGCCGCTGGGCATCCGGGACGCCTCTGCATCTGTGCGCGGAGAAGCTCCTACCGAGGGCAGTACGGGCCGGCCTGAGCCTCTCCCAGCTGGTGGGGGGGGGTGTCCCTTCCTTATCGCAACCAGACACGCTGCACCTGCCGTCGCCTGGCGGGCCGTGCCCAGGCCCTGCGCCTCTCCCAGCCCTCTTCACTTTCATAACTTTGCCTCCTGTTTCCAAGAAAGGACCTTATCTGCGGGGCTAGGCCTCGAGGGACTGGCGGGACACCCTGCACAGGGCACCATGACCTTGGAAGGAGGGCTGGGGAGGGGCCCCTGCCCTGTCTGCTCTCACCTCCCTCCTGCTCAGGGGCCCTGGGGCTCACATACTTCTTTTTTTTTTTTTTTTTTTTTTTTTTGAGACCAGAGTTTCGCTCTTGTTGCCCAGGTTGGAGTGCAGTGGTGCGATCTTGGCTCGCTGCAATCTCCGCCCCCTGGGTTCAAGTGATTCTCTTGCCTCAGCCTCCCGAGTAGCTGGGATTACAGGCGCTTGCCACTGTACCTGGCCAATTTTTGTATTTTTTTTTTTTTTTTTTTTTTTAGTAGAGACGGAGTTTCACCATCTTGGCCAGGCTGGTCTTGCACTTCTGACTTTGTGATCCACCCGCCTCAGCCTTCCAAAGTGCTGGGATTAAAGGCATGAGCCACCGCAACTAGCCAACACGCTTCTTAATCAGCATGCGGGCTGTGACATGCAGAAACCAGGGACACAGGCTCTGAAGTTTGTACTCCGGAGCTGGAGCAGTCGGGGTTAAATGGGAGCGGCTGGGAGGGGCGTGTTTCCACCAGGCCTTTCTGATATCTCAGCACCCAGTCTGGACCGGGTAGAAGGCCAGTGCCTGGAGTCGGTGGAGCAGTTGCCCATGCCTGGTCTCTGTGAGATGGGTTGGTCAGGGGCTGGGCAGAGCCTGTGCTGGGGGTAGCAGGTGACCTCTAAAGGGGCCAGTGACAGCCACTCTCCTAGCAGTCAGAAACCCACCCTTAGGGGTTGGGCACAGTGGCTCACACCTATAATCCCAGCACTTCGGGAGGCTGAGGTGGGCAGATCACCTGAGGTAGGAGTTTGAGACCAGCCTGGACAACATAGTGAAACCCCGTCTCTACTAAAAATACAAAAGTTAGCCGGGTGTGGTGGTGCATGCCTGTAATCCCAGCTACTCAGGAGGCTGAGGCAGAAGAATTGCTGGAACCTGGGAGGTGGAGCTTGCAGTGACCAGAGATCGCACCATTGCATTCCAGCCCAGGAGACAGAGCAAGACTCTGTCTCAAAAAAAAAAAAAAAGTCTGGTTTGAGTTTTGACAAACGTATACGCAAGGTCAAAGGGAAGACAGATGCTGGGGGGAGGAAGCCAAACTGTGAGTGCGAGCCCCCTGCTTTCCTGAACAGTCAGTGCAGGAGGTCCCAGGAGCTCAGGTGAGCACCTGAATGGTAGGGCGGAGCCTGAGGGTCTTGGTGGAGACAGGCCAGAGGGTTGCAGGAACCCAGTCTCACCCAGTGCATGGGGGAACAGGAGGGAACACTGAGGCAGGGAGGCAGAGGAGTTGGCAGGACCTGGACTGGACTGTGCGGCGCAGCTCCCCACAACTTATGACCCCACCGGCCTTGAAGTGAGTGATGCACCCTCACTCCTGTTCAGCGTCCAATGTCATCCTGGCCCTGAGTGTGCAACGGCTTTGCCCTTGTGAGGCCCCCTGGGCTGAGGGCTGAGCCCTGTCCCTTCCTGGCCACCGTCTGCAGGGACCGTCTGCCATCAGGAGCTGCCCGGTTTGCAGCTGTGATTTAAGAGCCGCTGTACTCCTCCAGCCCCCTGGGTGCTGCCAGGAGGTCCCCCTACTCTGGGAGCTGGTGTGTCCTGACTGGAGGCTGCCACGTGCAGAGTGCCGTCAAGCAGAAGGGGTGTCCACTGCCCAGCCCTGAGGCCCAAGGCCTTGGCCAGCCTTGCTGCCAGCGCTGCAGGGAAAAAGCCTCCTTTGTGTGTGGGAAGCTTAATAAACTCCGCTCAGATTGTGTCTCGCAGCGAGTGTCTGGAACCTTCCAGACAAGCCTCAGGCGTCCGGTCCTCCAGGTGGTGTGGAAAGCGTGGGCAATCACCAAGGGGGGTGGGTTGGGGCAGATGGAGCCAGCATGAGTCCTGTCCCTTCCCTTCCTTCCCAGAAAGGCAGCCCTGGACTCCGTGCCTTGTCCCGCTCTTACCGGTAAAAAGTGTAATCTTATTAGAAACAGGAAAGTTCCAAAAAGCATCAATAAGTTAAAAAGAGGGTTGGGCATGGTGGCTCACGCCTGTACTCCCAGCACTTTGGGAGGCTGAGGAGGGCAGATCACAAGGTCGGCAGTTTGAGACCAGCCTGGCCAACATGGTGAAACCCGGTCTCTACTAAAAATACAAAAATTAGCTGGATGCAGTGGCTCACGCCTGTAATCCCAGCACTTTGGGAGGCCGAGGTGAGCGAATCATCTGAGGTCAGGAGGTCAAGACCAGCCTGGCCAACATGGCGAAACTCCATCTCTACTAAAATACAAAAATTAGCCAGGAGTGGTGGCGGGCGCCTGTAGTCCCAGCTACTTGGGAAGCTGAGGCAGGAGACTCGCTTGAACCCGGGAGCCAGAGATTGCTGTAAGCTGAGATCATGCCACTGCACTCCAGCCTGGGCAACAGAGTGAGACTCTGTCTCAGAAAAAAAAAAAATTGGCCAGGTGCGGTGGCTCACGCCTGTCATCCCAGAACTTTGGGAGGCCAAGGCGGGTGGATCTCCTGAGGTCAGGAGTTAGCCTGACCAACATGAAGAAACCCTGTCTCTACTAAAAATACAAAATTAGCTGAGCGTGGTGGCGCACGCCTGTAATCCCAGCTACTCAGGAGGCTGAGGCAGGAGAATCACTTGAACCCAGGAAGCAGAGGTTGTGGTGAGTCAAGATCATGTCATTGCACTGCAGCCTGGGCAACAAGAGTGAAATTCCATCTCAAAAAAAAAAAAAAAGGCACCGGGGCCGGGCATGGTGGCTTATGTCTGTAATCCCAGCAGTTTGGGAGGCCGAGACAGGTAGATCACAAAGTCAGGAGTTTGAGACCAGCCTGGCCAACATGGTGAAACCCCGTCTCTACTAAAAATGCAAAAATCAGCCAGGCGTGGTGGCACGTGCCTGTACTCCCAGCTACTTCATCTGAGGTCAGGAGTTCAAGACCAGCCTGGCCAGCATGGCGAAACTCTGTCTCTACTAAAAATACAAAAATTAGCCAGGCATGGTGGTGGGCGCCTGTAGTCCCAGCTACTGAGGCAGGAGAATCGCTTCAACCTGGGAGGCGGAGATTGTGGTGAGCCAAGATCGGGCCATTGCATTCCAGGCTGGGCGAGCCTGGGAGAGGAGCGAAACTCCGTCTCAAAAAAACAGTTAATTAAAATAAAATAAATCAGTGCCGTAGGCTGTTTCTGGTAGGCAGTGGTTTCCTGGGGTGGAGCAGAGAAGGCCTGGAAAGGGTCGCTTGCTCCCAGCCTGGCTCACCGTGCTTCTCGGGGGACAGCAAGGCCGGCTGCTGCTGCAGAGCCCACGGCAGAGTTCTGTGGGGGCGCAGGCAGAAGGCCGCCATGCCTCCCTTCCCCTTTCCACCCCAGTGAGAGTGGGCTCGAAGGCAGGGAGTGTGCCCGCCTTGTGGAGCCTCCATAGAGGCACCCAGGGTTTCCGTGAGTGCATAGCCTGGCTGCGTCCCCCGGCCCTCCCCATTCCTGTCATTTCCACCTGTTGCAAAACACTGTGCTTTCGTGTCTTTTCTTTCTACCTGTTTGCTAATGTGAACATCACCACTGCCGTTGCAAATGGGCCGAGATCGGGACTGTGGCTTTCCCATCCGCACCGCCCTGACTGTGTCCAGCCGGGAGGTGGGAGGTGGGCGGCACTGACTGTGCGAGGTTGGGGCGATGATTGGCAGATGCTTGGACCTATGGTAAAGAGGATTTTCGCGAGTTGAGCGTCAGTCCTGGACTTTGTAGATGTTTACATCCCAGGCATCCTTTATGGGGTTCCAGCATCTGTTCAGGCTCCTGCGCCAGCCGTGTGAAGCCTGGGTGTCCTCGAGGCCTCTGTTTGTCCCCCTCTCTGGGCAGCGGGAGGAACAGCTCTGAGACCCAGTGGGAGCTCAGGGGCTGGGCAGCCGCAGAACAGCGTGGATGATGGGTCCACTGGGGGTTCTGGGCTGGGCGCACAGTGGGCTTCTGGTGCCCAGCCAGCTGGGGCAGGCCTGGAATGTTGGTTCCTCGCCCAGGATCTGGGGTGCTGCGGTAGCTG